AAAACTTACATTTTCATGAATTTCAGTATCGTAAGTAAGATACGATAATTTATTTATAAAATTCCCTGTTGCATTTGCCTAAAATTGGAATTAAAAAAATAGTAATAATTTATTAATGTTAAAGAACTTAATATTATTTATAATTATTGAAATTAAATTCTACGTGTAAATAAATGCTTTTAAACATTTTTTGTATATAGTATTGATGTATCCTGGTGCTAACTCTTTCATATATGTAAATTAATGAGGAGTTTGAAGATATATATAAAAAGCCAGACTACGAGTACAGTAATGTAAAGTATCTTGTTATTTATAATTATAATTCTTATCATATATGAAACAAAAAATTCGTTTCAAAATCGCTGCTATTCAAGCAAAATAACATCCCATTTCAAGAGTCATTTGTATACCAAATATACAGTCTGTTTCACGAGATATTTTACGTAATTCCGAATGAAGATGCTTATTAAATATAATATTCATCTTATCGTACATTGTAACTGTGGTTAATTGAATTTAATAAATTCTTACATTATAATCCATATTTTGTTACATATTTGTTTTTTGAAATTTTTGGAAATTTGGATTTATATGAACATACGTAACATGGAATGTTTCCAAGCTAATTTTATTCTATATTTGTCATCTTTTGATAATTCCTTAAGGTACTCATTAATTTGATTGAACTTCAATCCTGTATATCTAAATAATTAGTAAATAATTAGTGAATAAAAAGATTAAGAAGTATATAAATATATTTCCTATATTATATACTACACACACACACACACACACACACACAAAGAGTTAGGAAGTATATATAGAAGTATATAGAAGTATATAATATAGAGAATCCTCTCGCTAACAATAAATATTTTGAAGACTTTTTTTTTTGTATCATTTTAAAACGAAAAGTCTAATACAAAAATGTCCAAGCTATGATAATTTTCAAATGGTAAGAAAAATTACAAATATAAAACGAGTATAAAAGAGTTTAAAAATTGAATGACGAATAGCATTTCGTGCACTCAGGATAAAATGGTCAGTGTAAAGATATTAAATTTTGTTATTGTCAAAAACATGAAGTTTGAGGAAGTACATTCATTGACTATCTTGCCATCCCTGAGCGCGCAAAATTTTAGCCGTTATTCGTAATTTTTGAACTTTTTCCATTTCAAAACTATCATAGTCTCGACATTTTGGTATTAAACTTTTCGCCTTAAAAAATTACAAAAAATCTATCTTTAAAAGAAAGAGCTTCGTTTGCCTACAAAACGATTGCCTATAACTTCGTTTGCACATAGCGTATTGCACACACGACAATATTGCATACAGCGTATTGCACACACAATAGTATTGCACACAGCATATTGCATACACGACAATATTGCACACAATACATTATACACATGACAATATTGCATACAATATTGTATAATATGTCCTATGTGCTGTGTGCAATATTGTCGTGTATGTAATACGCTATGTACAATATTATCGTGTATGCAATACGTTGTGTGCAAACGAAACTGTAAGTAATCGTTTTGTAGACAAACGGGATATTTAAAGTATTTGTCGTGATGGGACATCCTGTATACTTTATTATATATTGTATTTTATATAAATTAGAAAGCATATATATTGTTTACATAACAATGTCAACTAACCCAAGAATAATGATAATTATTAAATCGCCAATGCAAAGAATATAAATGCAATAATTGCGTATAGAAGAAATAACTATAGGTGGTAAAATATCTAGATTATTTCCTTTCATAGTATAATTCTCTAAATAAGTTAACAATATAATTATCACAGACCATCTCAGAATGAAGCATACTATTTTCATCTTAAACTTGTGATAATTTGTTGTTCTTCCAAGTTTTTTTCAATATGTCATCCACAATAACGAGTTTCTTAATGCAATTTCTAAATATCTGATGCAAAGAAATAAAGTAAAGAAAACAAATATTATGATTTGTTTGTATCTATCGATTTTGAGAGAGAGAAAGAGAGAGAGTGAGAGGGGGGGAGAGAGGGAGAGGGAGAGGGAAAGGGAGAGAGAGAGAGAGAGATGAATATTAATTTTATAAATTGCTTCTATAAATAAATACAAACGATTTCAGAGATAATTTTAATTAGGCTATATACGAATCAAAATTGACAAATTCAAATTTATAAAAGATTTCTATAAGACATATACATTTTTTAAACAATTTGAATATTTTTCGAATTCTGGTATCCTCCATATTGAATCCATCATTTTGAATTTGTCAGTGACAACTCTTGGACTCTTGCATTTAGTGGTCTAACAAATCCTTAAGTTTAATTTTAACATAGTTGGATGTTGTTTGTAAAATTGTCAATGACAAAAAATTCACAGCTTTTCGATAATAGATCTATTTAATCATAAATGTCTCATTAACCGTAATCAATACTAAAAATCTTTTGAAGACTAAGATTGCACAGTGTTATTTTAATTTTAAACGAGGCTTAAAGGAGATTCTCGCGCTACTTCCTAGTCAATAGACAATTTATTCGTAATAATATGTAAAACAATTAAAATAATGGAATAAAAATATTACTTATCTTATGCTATTATACATATTTTAATAATTAATGTTAATTTTATATGTTGCTAAATATTTTCAAAATAACAAAATAAAAGTTGTAAGATGTATACGCATCGTCCATTTGACATATATTTTAGCTTTTTTTATTGACGAATATAAATGTCTATTCTAGCTTTTTTATTGATGAATGTAAATCTTGTAAATTGTACGATCAGTTTAAATGAAACTTTACGAGAACAAATTTAAGTAATTATTTTAATATAATTATAACAATTTTTTAATTGCTGTCTTATACACAAGTATCTCAATTTAAAAGAGAATAACTATAGAATAAGGTTATACCTTTAATTTGTAATGTAAATAATGTGTTCTATAAATTTAGAATTAAATATCTTCAAAATAGTACGGTAAAAGTCAATGAAATTTTTTAAAAATATTATTGATATTATTAAAATTTGTACTACATGTATATTATAAACTTGTTTTATATTTTATTAAATGCGAGAACTTCCTTAAAACTCTCTTTCTTTCTCTCTCTCTTTATCGGCTTTAAAAAAAGAAAGAGAAATTTTTAAGCTTCACTTAAAGTCAAAATAACATGCAATCGGGCCTAAAAGTTCGAAAAACATATCTCATTTTGATTGCAATAAAATTTCTTTAGCACATTACATTATAATTATAATATAACAAAGTGCCTAAAAATAGCTATTTTTTACAATGTTGATTGCGAATTTCTTAAAATTGTGATCGAGCAATTTGGAAATCGGATTTATATTCAATATCCACATGAAAATTACTGGAAATTACTCGTTCCAGTTAAAAAAAGTCACATTTTTTTGTCGAACAGTGTATTCAGACAAATATTTTTTATGCTTTATTTCTTACTTTATCATTCCAATAGCAAATGATATCATTGTCGTAAAAATATGCAAATATGATATTCAGTAGAATAATAAGTTGTATATTGAATGTATTATAATAAAATAATAAAATATATAGTAGCAATAAGTATAAAAAATTATTTTTGATCACCTACAGGAAATTTGACTCTTAAATCACATACATAACTGATAATTAGTAATGGCGACAACATTTCTCGAATGCTCTTAGTCATAGCGTATATCTTCGCAATTATGAATTGCACTTTGCAGATAACTTCGTAATGGATCTTTATAATTCACTATATTTATGTAAATGTATGATAAAATAATCGATATGCTGAATTTTCCATGTAGTAAGTTATTCTCGAAGTAGAACTTTATAAATTTGTTTTCACACGAAGCAAATACATTCATAATACAAATATCGATATTGTTTTTAATGATTAGTTGTTTTTTTTGTAATTTTTGTTCTTTATTCTTTTCTCTCATTACTGTATAATATTAGTGGCTATTAATGAATTATATTATTAATAATAATACACCTCTTACCTTATCATGATATTACTATCTTCTTATCATATTATGATATAACAAATACGATTGTTAATAAGAACGTGTCAGCAAGGTAAACAATTTCAGCGAATAGCACATATGGTATTCGATGAAATTTCATTTATTAAAAAAATATATTAAAGTGCTAATGTTAAAAGATTATAACAAATCGACCAAATGAGTAAAAAGACTGAACTATCATTTTAAATTTCTACATAAATTAAATTCTTAAACTAAATACATAACTGTTTATTATTAGTGATGTTAAAATTGTTTGAATACTTTTAGTCATTGTACGATTGTATTTCCATCTAAATTGCAATTCTGACAAGATAATTGTATACATATAGTAGCATGATAATGATAGTTTTTTAATTTTTATTAAGGCACCTTATGAATATTAAAGTAACCAATTCATAAAAGTTCCGTGACGTATCGAGTGAAATAGAAATGGGGTATTATATTTGTCCGTCTTACATAAAATATATATGTCTTTATAATAAAAATACAAAAAAATATTGTTTTAATATACTTTATTTTGTATTTAGACATT